GTCTGGGATGTGTCTTTCTTTCTTTCTTTCTTTTTTTCTTTTTTTTTTTAATACCAGGGTTTGAACTCAGGGCCACTCAACCACTGAGCCACATCAGGGTCTCACTGAGTTGCTTAGCACCTCGCTTTTGCTGAGGCTGGCTTTGAACTTGTGATCCTCCTGCCTCAGCCTCCTTAGGGCCTTACAGTTGCTTAGGGATGACAGGTGTGCACCACTGTACCTGGCTGTGTCTTTGCATTTTGAGGGTCACCATAATAACATCCTAGAATCACAGGGGAGGCCATGGGATCCCAAGGGCACATCCACCAGCCTCCTCCATGGTACCACTCCCTCGACTGCTTCATCACTGGCTACTGCTTAGACGGCTGCTTACCTACCAGGTATAACCAGATGCCAGCTGGTGCTTACAGCCCTCACTCTTTAGGCCTCACAACAACCCAGAAAGCAGTAGTGATTATAGTGATTATATATGATCGTCATTTGATGTTATAAACCAGAAAACAGAGGCTGGGAGAGGCAGGACCAGGATGGAAATCCAGGCCTCCTGCATTTCAAAGGCTGTAGCCAGGAGATTTCCCTGTGGCTTGCATTCTGCACAGCTACAGGCCTTGTCATGGGTTTCTGAGCTTCTGCTGACAGGGACAGGAGCTGGAATGGAGATGGGGGGACTGGGACAACAGAGGAAAGGCTTTGGGAGGTCCAGGCAGAGCAAGTCCAGGCCTGGAGTCTTCTCTCCCTTCTGATCAGCCTGAAGGGCTCTGGGAAGGACTGGAGGTAGCTGTCAGGAGCTGTTAGGGGATCAGAGAGATAGGGTAGGCCTGAGGGATTGTTGGAGGAAAAGCCTGGGACTCCAGATGTCCTGGAGATGGCCAGGGATTGGAAGGACAGGTCTTCACCAAGGTAGGAAGGTTTCTCCCTCCGCTGCCTCCTACCCCAGATACAGCCCAGTTGGAACAGAGGGAGCACTGTAGATGCTGGGGTCACCCCTGAGCAGGAGAGAGATAGGAGGGAGAGGTTCAAAGAATCAGAGGAAGCTCAGCTGTGGGCAGAGGTCATGTGCTGCACTGGAATGAACATAGGCTTTGGAGTCTCAGAGACTTGAGCTCTGAGCACAATATTGCCACTTACCAACAGGAGACATTGCGCCTATCACTTAGCCCTCATAACCTCAGTTTCCTCAACTGAACAATAGAAAGAGGATAAAGATTAAATAAGAAAGTGATATTGGCCAGGCATGGTGGTACATACCTATAATCCCAGTGGCTCAGGTGGGTGAGGTAGGAGAATAGCAAATTCAAAGCCAGCCTCAGCAACTTAGCGAGGCCCTAAGCAACTCAGTGAGACCCTGTCTCTAAATAAAATATATTTTAAGAAAATTTTTTGTAGTTGTAGATGGACATAATGACTTTATTTTATTTATTTGTATTTGGTGCTGAGGATCAAACCCAGTGCCTCACACATGCCAGGCAAGCATTCTGCCACTGAGCTACAGCCCCAGCCCTAAGTAAAATATTTTTTAAAGGGGTGGGGCTGTGGCTCAGTGGTTAAGCGCCCCAGTTCAACTTCTATGCAAAAAAAAAAAAGTGATATTAACAAGGCCAGGCACTATGGTAAGTGCTATATTATCTCTTTCGCTTCTCACAACAGCCCTATGTGAGCATGTCACTCTTACCTTCATTCTATACTTGAGAGTTGTGAGGCTTAGACAGGTTTAATAGCTTGCAAGGGTCACAGGCAGAAACGTTTCACCACTGTGCTATTCTTCCCCTGCCTGGGGTACCTAGTGCCAGGTCTGCCTTCAGGTGCTGTGATTTTAGCACTGGGTGGGAAGGAACAAATTCCATCCCAGAGGCCCCAAAGCAGCTCACTCAATTCCCAGGGCCCTTCCTACATACAACTCCCTCACTTTTTTTTTTTTTTTTTTTGGTACTGAGGATTGAACTTGGGCACTCAACCACTGAGCCTGAGCCACATTCCCAGCCCATTTTTTGTATTTTATTTAGAGATAGAGTCTCACTGAGTTGTTTAGGGCCTCGATAAGTTGCTAAGGCTGGTTTTGAACTTGTGATCTTCCTGACTCAGCCTCCTGAGCCAATGGGATTACAGGCATAAACCACCATGCCAGCTAATAAGGCCTCTTTTGATAAACTTTACAGTTTGCAAAACCCTTTCCCCCATATTATCTAATATATTTTTCCAACATCTCTGTGTTTTCCATTTAATGGATGGGAGAGCTGAAGCAAGAGAAACATAAGTGCCTAATTTAATGTCAGGTGGGAAATAGTAAAGTTAGCTTGGAGCTCATTCTGGCCCACCACAGTTGCTATCAAAGCCCCTGGAAGAAATATTGCTGTATTAGTCACTTTCACGTGTGAGTGTGTGTGTGTGTGTGTGTGTATTTCTATTAAAGATCAGATTAAAATATTTTTTCTAAATATAGTAATACATGGTTAAAAGGTCAAAATGCCAATATAGGAGGATGAGGCAGGAAGATCACAAGTGCAAGGCCAGGCTCAGCAACTTAGCAAGGCCCTAAGTAACTTAGCAAGACACTATCTCAAAAAAAAAAAAATTAAAGGCTGAAGATATGGCTCAGTGGTTAAGCAATCTTGGTTGGTTCAATCCCCAGTACAAAAAAAAAAAAAAATTATAATAAAAAGTCAAAATACTCGGGCTGGGGATGTGGCTCAAGCGGTATCGCGCTCGCCTGGCATGCGTGCGACCCGGGTTCGATCCTCAGCACCACATACCAACAAAGATGTTGTGTCCGCC